GTCAGGAAAGAATCTGGACAAGTTTTCGATTTGAATATTTTGGTACTTTTTTGTTTTTTGATTTTTGTATTTTTGTTTTAATTTTTAGGATATTATTTTAGTTTCTCTATATCAACTTACAAAGTGTACACTCTTTCAAATCAAATGTGTAACCATATAATTGAAGTTTCATTACTCTGTTGGGTAACCTATGTAAATTAAATAAAATAAATAAATTAATAAATAAAAACTTCAATGACTCAGTTTGCTGCATGAACTTTGAGTTTCTTAAAATAAATCCCAGTGTTTTGTAAGCTTTTGCGACCACCCAGTTACATGATCAACGAAGGTTAGTTTAACATCAAAGACCACACCCAAGTCCTTGAACTGATAACATCTGTCTAGCAACTCATTGTCGATATTATAGGAATACTCAATGATATGCTTCTTCCGTGTAAAAGACACATACCTATTTACACTTTTTTCATGTTCAGTGGCAATAAGTTAGAATTACATCAGATATGAAGCCTTTCAAGGTCATCTTGAAGTAACGTACAATCCTGAATGCTATTGACTGTCGCATACACCTTACAATCGTCTGCATATAATAACAGATTTGACTTGAGGGTTCTGCATATGTCATTTATAAATATTGTGAATAACAGAGGACCAAGAATTGATCCCTGTGGAACACCAGATGGAGCTGATATTTCAATAGACTTGAATCTATGGTACTGAACATGCAGTTTCCTGTTCGAGAGATAGGACATGAAAAAATTTATTAGTTTTTTGGTGAGTCCAAAGCAGGCGAGTTTCCTCAGAAGCAAACCATGGTCAAGACAATCGAAAGATTTTGGAAAATCTGTATATATTACGTAAATGAAAAGATGATATGAAGAAAGTTTCAATCTCAACTATACTTACTTCCTTTACAATTTCATTAATCAAACCATTCGCAGATCGAAACTGAAACTGAGTCACGAGGGCAGGAAGTAAATCTCCTAGTGTAAAGTGGATCTTCTAAAAATAGTGAACTCTGTCTGGCTTAAGAGTTATATTATGCGATAAGGGCCCTAGAAAGAGTTCTGTTCAGTTGAAGTACAAAAGGACTCAGCAGCCCATCGAAAACGTGCAGAGATAGAAAGGCTATGGTTTATTCAGCGAGAATTAATATGGGTTTCAATTACTTTACTTCGGATTGTGCTAACACTGGATGTTGATAAAACCGAGAAAGCAACTACCTATCCCCGATCCGGATTTCAGGACCGGATTATCTCTTATCTTTGTTCGTTACATAACAAGACTTTTTCGATGAAAATTAATGATTCATTTCAATTTTATTTTGTATCCATTGCAGTCTTCAATATCAGCTTGTATACTTCTCATCAAGAACTCCTGATGATCCCTAGAAATGAAGCTGTGACTCAAGTCAACATTATACTTAACTTTCTATATCTACAGTGTGGTTATACTTTTAGTGGCATCAATAGCTTCACAAAATAGTACCGATGTCATTGATCTGCGAAGGAATGGAATGTAAATAATGTTAGTGAGCCTGACGTCACAGGCCAGGTTTGGTTTGCAATTCCGATCTATTTTTTTTTGTTTAGTTGTGCACTGTGCAGTACTTTCCTATCAACACATGCACCTACTATGTAGTAGAATTTCAGAGAAGCTTGCTGCAGGAAGCCGATTATCATAATTTGACGTTGAACTCACAATTCCAAATTTCAATATCTTAGCTCGTACCGAGTGATTGCAAAATAGGAAAAAAAAAACATGAGCACTGGATAAACGATTCTGAGTTTCATGCAGAGAGTTAAATTGTCAATGGATTAACAGTCACCTAGTGTATCAATTTAAACAATATCGTCGCTTTTTTCTCAATTTTTATCCATATTTAAGTTGTGAATACTTGGTATAAGTTACCATTTTGAAACTTGAGATTTGTGAGTTCCAGATGTGCCTAAATCGTTAAAGATATTAGTTTTTTTCTCGTCAGTTTTGGGATCTTTTATTGTCATCGTAGTAAGCTATATGGATGGGAACTATCTTGTAACTGTCATAAATTAATGTATTGTGACCTTTACAAGGGAGAAAAACCAGGTGAAAATTCAATGACTGATGCTCTGATAATCGATAGAACTCGAAGCAATATTGAGGGTGTTCTGAACATACATCTTGATCTTATAGATCTGTCTAATGCTTCTTTGAAATTCACTTTCGATATTACGGTCCTGACTTTCACATCTTTACAGCGCGAGATGAAATGGAATGATGAATGACTATACTGTTTCGTGGCAAATACATAAAACGGAAGCCCATTCAAAGGAATCCACCTGGAATACTACAAGAAACAAAAAAAAAGAGATATTCTTTTGGGGTTTGTGCACGATTTGATGAGGACGCACTTATGAATTTGGTTCTTTCGGCCGATTGTTACCTATTCTCAAGAAACTGTACCTATTCACATTATGCATTGTTAAACCATTTTTTAGTTTTCATTCCATGTCGTAACCATGATGTTGTTGATCAAATTGATATACAAGGTGTCCCAGAATAACGTACCATAAATTCCACAGGGTGAAATAGACACCAAAATAGACTGATCGAAATCAACTTACCTATATACGAAAATGCACTGTTGAGCCGTCAGAGAGCGATGAAGAATAATTGCATTTGCAGATATTCCTGAATATTTTAAAATCCTTGAAAGACACTGCTCTGGAATTTGTAGGGCAATATACTATCATGATTTTGCATGGAAACTATGTCATATCAATTCAACCTATATACAGGGAGATGGATATTTCACATTTTCTTTGATGAAAATTGATGTAACTTTTTAGGAGTACGCCACTGGCCGTATTTCGATATTTCAGTGAACAACAAAATTCAATATCTAGCTTTTTAGCCGTTTTTTTATAATTCCTCTTAGTTTTCGAGATATTTAAGAAATTTCATTTTGGTGCTTCTCCATACTTGTTTATTATGTCAGAATTACCTTCCATATTTTGCAAATTTCTATCTCATTTGTGTTGAGATATTGAACACAATATCCATGTTCATCACAATGTCAGAAGCTCAATATCATGTGATCTGAAAGCTTGTCAATTCCAAATTTCATTATTTTGTTTTCAAAGAGCATTTTTGAGAAAAAATAGTACATTATACATCAAGGAACAGAAATGCAAGATTTTTTCCATGGTGCAATTTGTAGCTCAAGGGCGAAGCCTTCATTTTTCTCATAATAATCATCTACATTGAATTTTTATCTTTTCAGTTTTTACTGCTTTACATTTCATGGTATCTACATGAACTTATCAAAAACCTGATGTGGGTTCAGACAGAGTCAACAGTTCATCTCAACCCAATGTGTCGATCACTTCATGAGGTTGATGATTGTCAACAATCTTGTTATAAAATTCCCTCAGACAGCTGATGAAATTTTCAGCACAAAAAACAACAATTTTGTTTTTTGGAAGACGAAGTACTGACCATATGATTTGAGAATTATAACATACCATATTACCTTCATTTCAACTTCTAACGAGTTTCGCGCGTTTTCAGCCACAGAACATCAACATACTGTTACCAACATTTACCAAATCTATTTATTACCATGTCCCCCAGATTTTTCTCTAACGACATCGATACTGAATAAGCTTCTAGAATTTATCGTTCAAAATGTCGTTGGTCAATATATCGTTAAGGTAACGATATCGTGTTCTAACGATAAGTTACTGAATAGACCCCTTAGTAGTTTCAGTATGGGTCCCTTGATGTAAATGGGCGTGTACACCTTAGTAGAACTTTCAACTCAAACCATGTTTATAATGATCCTTTTATACATAATCAATGATTGACGACATAATTCGATCGAAAAAGTAACTGGAATGTTTTATTTTTGGACATAAATAATAGTACCTCCTGAAAACGAACCCTCTTATGACGTAGAAACCTTATCTCGCCATAGTTAAAAGAAAATACCAAACGCCCGACGGAGACTGAGGCAACTGATATATTAATTCTTTCAACTGATGTGATCTCGCGCTGATCCACTGTGTCAGAAATCATGTATCATTCATCTCTGTCTGATATAGTATTGTTTCAGTATTAGGGTTTTGACGTCACATCATCGCCTCGTTTTCAGAGGTCCGAAAAATCGGGGATTTCAATAATTTTTTACAAAACGTAGGGAGCTCACAGCAAGAAACGGCGGTTTGCGGTGGTGAGCTAGTTTGGGTGAGTTCTATCGAATTATGAAATAATTTTTTTTTTGTGATATAAGCCCATTGACGTAATTTCGGACATTTGTTGTTTTTTAGGTTATATTGAGGACATTGGCGTATCATACGTAATTTCCACATGGCATTCCTTATTGAAATCTACATAATATTATATCTAACAAGGGGAAGCTTTCGTGACTGTTCTATAATAATATTCTTGGAAATATTAGTGGGATGCAGTCTGGACCAATGAATTAATTAGATTTCTTCGTTATTTGTCGAGCTTTCGAAAATTTTTATTTTGTTTATCAAGACTAACTGAAAACATCGAATGGAACAATAATATTTCCAAGAATAATATTATATCTGCATGATGATAAATAATTTTTGAGTTTTTGATTTTTCAACTCCCGTATAATTTTTGTGAAGCAGTGAGCATAAATTTTTCTGGAAATTCAATATGTCTTACCAAATGGGACTCTTCTATAATGGTGGGAACTCTGATGTAGGTATTCAAACTAATGTCCTCATATGTCATGTGTGCTGTATATTCATATATTCATGTTGGGTATATCATTTTTGAAGTTTTTTTCGAACATTTATATTTTCTGAATGTAGGTATGATTTTTTAAATGGTCGGGCATATGCCTCTTCTTTTAATCCTCCTTTCGTTTAAATCGATACTGTCCTTACCCTGTTAAGATGACTTTAACGTCAATTTCCATCAAGGGACCCTAGTTTTAGTTAGACGCAAATCTCACCATATGGATTACTTGCTGCCTCCTGTCTCTAGAAGTTTCTGAAAAATCGCGTCGGGATCCTAAACTCCGCGCCAAATCGCAGATCGCGGCACTCGCGGGGCGGTCGCTCGAACCGCGCGCGCCCCCTCCGGCGTATAAATCCCGCGGGCGGTGGCTTGCCGCCCCCGTTGCACGTCGAGAGCGGCAGAGATGAGCGGCTCCGGCAAACCGCTGCTGGGCCTCTGGCTGTACCGGAGCGGAGAAGAATGGGACTACAAGGAGAGCGCTCCGATCGCGCTGAAGCCGCAGGTGAGTGAGTGCCTGATAGAACACCCTGTATTTTACAACATTTTTCGACTTTGAATCGAATTCATATTTTATACCCCCTATCTTAAATTACGGAAGCGTCGAAAGGCCACTATTGTGTATATTCTATTTTATCTCTGAATTTTCTCTGGATTTTACGTCTACGAAAGCGTAAAAAGCCCACTGTTGTGTGTATTTCATTTCATCTCTAATTCAGAAATCATTTATTTATACTGCTAAAACAACAGGCTTTTGGTCAATTATAAAATAACAGTTTTATCACATAGTGCACACTTAACAAAACACTAACATGTACACGTTAAACATTTAAAAAAGTGGTAAAATACAACTAAAACAACAGTGCCTTTTATTCTGCCACTATAAGAATTGAAAATGTCTGCCTCCCAACAGTTAATAAGATCATTTACAGTTTTCTGGCTTCCTTACAAAAGGTGAGCAGGATGACACATCTACATAAAAATATTATTTATTTATTTTTATATTATAATTTCTCTGATTCAAACCTTTTTTTCTGAATTCATACTTTTTCTCTCAATTCAGACTTTTTCTCTGAAATCAGACTTTTTTCCCTGATGGGTTGAGACTTCTTGTCTGATGTTTATGTGTAAACAGGGTGGTCCAAATGAAGTACACGCCAAAAAATCACGATCGCATATTTCTTGCAGAAGAAATAAAGGTCATATTTCTTCAGGATGACCCTTTGATTTCGTGCTATACAGGGTGCAACTCCTGAAATATACATTTCATAAATGTTAAACGCTTTAATGGAATCAAGGAGCAGGAGCAGTTGATAAACACATCAGCGTGAACGAAATATTCCTGCAATCGACAAATAATCATCTGGAACTAAACTGCCCCACATTTTAATTTTTCTTCTAAATCAGAGTTTCTTCTCTGAATTCATATACTTTTTTGTCAGAATTCAGAATTTTTCGTCTAAATCCAGACTTATTGTAAACAAGGTGTTCCAAAAGTACATGCCAGAAAATCACGAGCGCGTATTTCTTGCAGAAAAAAATGAAGGTTCGTAAAAGCATAACTGTCGAAATGAATTGGAATGAATAAGCACATTAATTAATTCCGGTAAACCTTCAACTCAGTTTTCATTCATAATCTCAGCATCAGCGTCGAAAAATATCAGTAATACAAAAATATTCCTGGAATCGATAAATAATCATCTGGAACTGTAGAGAAACTTTTCGATATTACATTCATGCTCAATTGTTAACATAAAATGGCTATATCATATCACACTGCTTCATCAAAGCTACAATTTTTATCATTTATTATTTAACAAAATGCGATTCTGAAGTTGCACCCTATACAGGGTGATTCAAAAGTAAGCGGCATCCTTTCAGAGGCGTATTCCTTGCTTGAAAATAAGGCAAAAAGTTCCTATTGATAAGGATCCGAAAATGCTTCCTAAGGGAGCTACGGCCCTTTGAATAGGACACCTCAAAGACGGTTTTTTCTCTATAACTTTAAAATCCTTCACAACAAATTTTTAAAAATTGGTGTACGGCATAAACATTCGATGGTAAATAGGACTCCGTATTCGAAATTTCAGAATTTCATTCAGGGGCGTCACATGCGGGAGAGGGTAAGTGTAAAAATATCCCTTCTTCTCCGGATATTCAGGTTACTGTGATTTCGTTTGGAAATTATTTCGAATACGGAGTCCTATTTACCATCGAATGTTTATGCCGTACACCAATTTTTAAAAATTTGTTGTGAAGGATTTTAAAGTTATAGAGAAAAAACCGTCTTTGAGGTGTCCTATTCAAAGGGCCGTAGCTCCCTTAGGAAGCATTTTCGGATCCTTATCAATAGGAACTTTTTGCCTTATTTTCATGCAAGGAATACGCCTCTGAAAGGATGCCGCTTACTTTTGAATCACCCTATATAGGAAACGAAGCGTTTTTCTTCATACTGTAGGTATGTATAGGACCACGCTCCCGTGATTTTCTACCATGCCCTGAATTTTTGGAATACCCATATATGGAAGAGTCTGAATTCAGAGAAAAAACTCATACAAAAAAGTCTCAATAAATAGATTTCTACGCATTCATATAAAATTATCCGTATTTGAGTTATTTGAGTCTTTCTGAAATAAGTGACGAATGCAGCAACATACGTGATTTTCATGTGAATTGCAATTGTTGGTGATATGCACTGACCGAATCATGAATATTGGCAGTTCTATGGATCATTCACCATAATAACAAAAATAGTTTACAGGGTGCGCAGAAAATTAGATCGAGAAAGTGAATGTGGAACATTGGGAATCCAATTTTTTCAAATGGATAAGCCATTTACTTACTTACATTCAATTCTATTACATAAATGAGCCTTAGTTCTGATTTACTTCGCTACCTACACCCCAAACCCATAATTTCTGAGATATTTCATGAATAGTACTCAATCCTGCATCATATACAGGGTGTTTCCTAACTACGGTTCCTAACTGCAGGTGGTGATTCGTTAGGTCATTTCAGGAAGAAAAGTTCCTATCAACATATGTCCGGAGTTGCTTTGTTTCTGAGATACAGGGCGATAAAATTGAAGAAAAAACCGGTTATTATACAAAATATCATGAAAATCCTGAAACCGATTTGGTTGAAATTTGGTACTTTTATTTGAACTAATAAGGCGCATATTTAGCCCTATTTAGATTGGAATTATTGCGGCCAGTAGCTTATCAGTGGGCACCACAGCCAACAATATTGTAAAAAAAAAGTACGCCACTGACTTTTTTTGGTAAATTTCTATTTTTTTTAGATTGAACAATTCAATATACAACTTTTTGGTCTCTTGTATTTTCTTCATATCTAGCTTCGTTTTCGAGAAAAAACATTAAAGCCACTGTATTGCATATCATGAACACCTGCATTGGAGAAATGAGTTTTTCATTATTACCGCTGAAAATATAATTGACACTTGATATGTTGACATTTTAGAAAATTTGACAAATAAAAGTACCAAATTTCAACCTAATCGGTTCCAGGATAATCATGATATTTTATAATTACAGTTTTTCTTTTCTTCAATTTCAACGCCCTATATCTCAGAAACGAAGCAACTCCGGACATATGTTCATAGGAAGTTTTCTTCTTAAAATGACCTAACGAATTACCTCTTGAAGTTAGGAACCGTAGTTAGGAAACACCCTGTATGTATATCTGCCTGAAATTTTGAATCTATTTAGTAGGCTGTGCAAAATATCTATCGACGAATGAATATATCTGTTTCCATGAAAACAGTAATAGGAAACCATTATATTAATATCACCTGTTTTCATGGAAATGTTATTACATTCGCCATGAATCACTGATAAAAATTATTCAGGTGTTGTGATTATAGTGAGTAATCCATTCAATCTTCAATATACATACCTATACAGTAATCACTGCATATCACTGCATATCACGGCATATCACTACATATTGATGTAATTTACATGAAAATGGCGAATGTTCGATAGGCATTTGTCACTTTTTCTAGAAAAACTCCGATACCTAACTCAAAAGCACATAATTTTTGGTATAGAATGTGATGCATCAATTTGAAAATTAAAAATAACATAGACGACGCCGATATATTTTAAATAATTTCTCAAATCACGTGAGATCAATTGCTAAAAGTGTTTCCCAAAAACTTGGTTCTCTGTTTCGGGCCAGGAGCTATTTCACTTCCAGTCAGCTGCTTATGATCTATAAGGCACAGATCCGACCTGTTCTGGAATACTGTTCCCATATTTGGAGTGCAGCACCCAAAAATACCCTGAAACTGTTGGGTTCTGTCCAAAAAAGGGCAATTCGTCACAAACTCACTCACTTCTCTGGAACACCGTAGAAAAGTTGGCGATCTGGCTCTATTTTATAGATATTTTCTTCTGAAATATCAACAATAGTTCCTCCCTTGGCAGTCCCCGCGAGATAAACCCGTCGAGTTGAGGCTTCGCACCCCTTCGTGGTCACTTTGGAGACCTGCAGAACATCTCTTTCCAAATACTCGTTCATCCAAAGAACAGCGAGGCTCTGGAACACATTGCCAAGGGAAGTGTTTCCCGAGGCATATAACCTCCAGAAATTTAAGAAGAACACCAATTCCCTTGGTTCTCACGATGTTTTCTGAACATTACAGGATATCCCTTTTCGTGGGAACCAGAACATAAAAAAAATCATCGCCTACCTATAACTTTTGACCTTTTTTAATTCCGTTCAGTGTTGATGAACATCTACTTGATTCAGTTCAAGATTCTCAATTGATGGCCTTCAGACTCGTTGAATTCTTGAGTCGTGTTTCTAATTCTCTTGAGCAATTGATCATATATAATATCTAATATTCATCATTCGACACGACACTTTGTTTATTTATATCCGCATGATGGAATTCTAAGTTTGTCCTTAATATCTGAGGGAGTTTCGAAATTTTTCGCAAATCACTCAATAAGAGAATTTTTTGTCAGGTCATCCTCGGAATAGCTTGCTTTACAATAACAGAATTGTCTCGCTGGAGATTTTCGAGAAGCATTTTTATAACAAGCGGAGTTTATTGCCTTCATTTGTAAAGAAATGCTTCTCGCCATGATATAAGTAACATTGTTTCAAAAGTCGACAGGTTCTGATTCTTAGTACCAAGTTCTATATTCGGACGATTCTTCTGGTTTAGATCGAATATAATTGTCGCTGTCTTATCTATTCCTTCTCTCTCATCTCTCAATTTATTTATTATACAGTACGATGCCAATGTATGGAATGAATTTGTTTTTCCAAAAATATGCGACTTTCGGAAAAAACAGAAACACGTAAGTTTTAATTTTTGAAGACCCATCTGATGATATACATTCAAGAGATGTTTCGTCAGCAGTGTTGGCGTAATGACGTAAAAGCCGATTTTTTTTAAATACAAACAGAGTTCATGTGACACCTCATTGGTAAAGTCTACTGATCGTCTATTCAGTAATGAAGATAATTAGAGGGTTAATCAAAATTATGTTGACCTGGGCGTCAACGTGCAGCACATCGAGTCAAAAACTGAAAATCTTTATCTCTGAAAATAAGGCATCAATAATAATTATTGTTGATATCCCAGGTCTGAATCCATACTGTTGCTCACTGAAATAACTCAAAAAAACAGTTTTTGAGAATGATTTGCTGTATCAATTTCAAACTGAATATCTGACTGGCATCAAATGAACGACTTTCCCTGAGAAGTTCTTCGGTAGCATACATTTTATTATGAATAATTTTGATGATCCATTTTAGTTCAGTATAAAATTCTGATTTTCAAGATATCAATCATTCAGTCTTCGCAGCCAATAATTACGTAAGAAATAAATGACTGAATGGGTGAGTATTAAATGGTATGGAGTATGGAGATAAGTAATGGCCAAGGAGCTTCTTAGGTATACATAGGAATATAAATAAAACCTTTTGGTCTTCTGATCAAATATGTCGGGTGCAAGTCACAACGTCTATTATGTCTATTATGACTCCTATATCCTGATCTATCATGAGTTGTTCTAAATTTGGTCAAAAGGTTTCTTTGTTCTTTCTTTATATTTAATGTCAACAATAAAATGTATAGGCCTCCAAATCTACCGAAGATCCGAAACAGCTTGAACCCGAAAAGAAGGAGAAGCTCTCCATCATCTTCACCCTGAAAAATCAAGTGGGCGGACTGGTGCGCGCCCTGCAAGCCTTCCAGGACCTTGGCGTCAACGTGCAGCACATCGAGTCGCGCCCTTCGCCTAACGGCGAAGGGCACGCCGATTTCCTGGTGGACGTCGAATGCGAGCCGCGCAGACTCGACCAGGTTAGAACACTATACCGGGTGATAACGAAGTCATTCAAGGCGTCATTCAGTTGTTTTTCATGTCATCAGACTCTTGACATTTGGATCGAAGATATATCTCACTAAACATGAAAACGTAACTTAATGTTAGTCAAAACATCTAAACAATATTGTTGTGCCCTCACTCACTATTTTTTTTATATGTTATATGAAGTAGGTTCGTGAAATTTGGAGCGTCGATATAATGACATAAGAGCTAGAATTTGAGCATATTGACATGTCGAAGTTAACTTCCAGTCTGACCGGAAGTAACATCAACTTTCTTATTTTGAATGGAAACCCTATTTTTTTTCTTTTCGCTTTATTCAGCATTCAATTCCCTTCTTAATGACATATCACAAGTTGGTATCTAACCAGAAACTAGATCAGATAAAAATTATTATTGAAATTCACCGAGTAGGCCGTGGAAGCAAAATGAAAGCCAAAAATTGAAAAGTTGGCTATGGAAACCATACGTCACTTGATAACAGTTGCTACTACTGAGATATTTTATTTTCATTCGTCGGCATTATAAAAAGCCGCCAAAAAAAATATTGGAAAAATTGGGAAAAAAAACAATACTCTGTAGGTCTATAACTTAAATAGGAACATACAACTTTTTCTTGCCTGTACTATTAAGTGTAACCATTCCTTTCTAATGATATAATAGAAAGTAATTTTTTGCTTCCACGGCCTACTCGGTGAATTTCAATAATAATTTTTTTCTGATCTAGTTTCTGGTTAGATACCAACTTGTGATATGTCATTAGAAAGGGAATTGAATGCTGAATAAAGCGAAAAGAAAAAAAATAGGGTTTCCATTCTAAATAAGAAAGTTGATGTTCAGACCGGAAGTTAACTTCGACATGTCAATATGCTCAAATTGTAGCTCTTATGTCATTATATCGACGCTCCAAATTTCACAAACCTACTTCATACAATAACTGAGATAACTTCCGTAGCCACCCGGTATATGCTATTCCTATTTTATTCAGATAATTATCAGTTACAAGAAACTTACATTATTGTATCTAGTTTCATTCAAAATATTCTCATTTACCGCGTGAAACAAGTTGAACTTGGCACCGAATGTGGCGACCTCACGCAGCTAGTGATAGAACCAGAAACATTCGAACGAGAATCTCCATAACGGTCGCATGTGCTTATCAATAGCTACACGCTACTTAGCTCTCGCTGCTTGCACAGCTTTTATCGTTATAGTGCTATAATAGTGCTCAACAACCTCGCCGCTCCTGCAAGCTGACATGTTCAACTTGCGATCATAAAAGTAATAACAAGTTCATAATGTAGCATTAGCACCTGATCAAATATTTACTAAAACATTCGAATTTCGAGATTATTCAGTAACTTGTTCATTGAATTGTTCAAATTGATGTCCATTTCCCGTCACACTCACACACTTTCGTGAATATTCAATCAATGTTTTTCCTTAGTTAATTAGTTTTGGTATTGTTTTTGTCCTTTTCATGAAAAAATCAATAGAAATATTCCTTCACTTGGAACTTCATGTATATATGAAAAATCCATAGCCCACTATTAAAATTCAAGTTTTTAATGATTTTGAAGCATTTTTGAATTGTTTGGGATTATCGGTCACGTTTCGAACCTGCCCACAGAGTTACCACGTTAATTTTTGATGGGAGTCGAGTCAAACATTGACCATTCTGGTATGGCCACTGTGGTTGAATGACTGACTTGACACAGCCTATATATCATTTTGAAGGAGTCAAAAAGGAATTCGGTGAGCTTATAAAATACAGGGTGTTCCATTCAGAAAATCATAGATTTGAGTCCTATATCTCCTCTCGAAAAAAAAGTTGAGTGCGCCACTGGATTCTGCGTAAAATTATCTTTGGTATAAGATTTTAATTTGACATTTTCGGTGAAAAACTTCGTAGATATAGAGAGGGGTCAAGAAGTATACATTCTGAAAATTACTCTGTATCTTAAAAACAGGAACAGTAATGCAGAATATGATTAGGCCATCTTGAACTTCACAAAAAAGTGGCATAGGACCGCGAAAACCGCAAGGTTCTAAATTCAAAGATAACTGAGATATCACGCAAAAGCATCCAAACCTGGACACACTGTACTTTGATGTTTCCAATACATGTTTTCTGTGTCTGATGAAAAATATATTAAAATATTATTATTATTAGGTAGGTAGGCTGCTGAAGCGCGAGGTGGTCACCATGGTGATCGGGAAGTTTGGTGGAGAGGAAAGCGAGTTTCCGCCACCAACACCGCTCTCGGCTACCGCCAGCTTCGGTGAGCAAGTGGATTCTTGTGTTTTTCTTTGTTCTTCTGATATTTTCTTACCTTATCTCACTTTCTCCAACTCTTTCTCGCTCCTCGCTATTCTTACTTTTTCTCTCTTTTATCCTTCCTTCAATTATTTCTGGCTCTTTCTCACCTTCTCAATTTTTCTTCCATTTCTTGACTTTGTTTCTTTCATTCTCACCTTTTTCTCACCATTTCCTCTCACTTTTTCCCACGTTTTCCAATCATATCCTCAAACTTTTTCTATTAATCCCTGTTTAACTCATTTTATTTCAATCATGGGCGTCATTTAAGGGGGGCAACTACCCCCTCTCTGATTTTCTACGAAAAATTCATTCCACTCAGAACCTTCCTGTAACCACATGACGATATACATATCACACAGGTACTTAAAGAGAGACAGTAGTACATTAAAAAAACAAAATTTCAAAATTCACAGTAATAGGAGATATCATACCTGAATATGGAATCAAATGACACAATACAATTCGATACAATACAATCTAACAGACTGGCTGCTAGTCGGCTGTGCTGATTCGTTGACCAAATATTATTATCCGAGTTCGTGAAATACGCGGCGTTGTAACGAATAGATGCGCACAGCGGATTATCACAACTCTCTCTCTCCTTCTGAAAATATGGCCTCTTGTCTTACGACATACAGCCAGAGCTCTTATTACGGAGAATCCGGCCCCATCCGGCCTGGATACCGGTGTAAATAATAAGGGTTTTGTTTTTCGAGCACCCTGGATGTCTCACTCGAAGTGATACCAGGTATTGTGCTCTTTTAGCGTTTCAAACTCACAATCACAAAAACGTTAATTTAATTTCCGACCCGAAGACGCCGCTCATTCTAATAGCGGAGTCCATTGGTAAAACTAGTGCGCACTCAGTGTATACATTTATCTTTCTACTACACGTCGAGAAGAAGGATAGATATACACTGAGTGCATAAATCCTCCACCAGTTCATGCCCAATGGAAACCGCTATAACATTCACTGTGCCTGCCTATCTATGACGTTTCCCCTCCATTTCTCACGTTCTTCATCTTGTACTCCCTTTTTATCACGTTCTCTCGCTTGCTTGGTCCACTCAGTATAGTCCATATTCAATGTGTTTTTTATCAGATTTCGACGATATGCCGTGGTTTCCCAAGAAAATATCTGACATTGATTTGGCTCAGAACGTGCTGATGTATGGGAGTGAACTGGACGCTGATCACCCAGGATTCAAGGACCCTGTATATCGAAAAAGGAGAGAACATTTCTACCGCATAGCGATGAATTACAAACAGTAAGTTTAAAAAAGATGATCAATTCCTACTGAACAGATAATTTCCCTTGTTTCGTAGTGGACAACCAATTCCAAAAGTCAAATATACCCCAGAAGAAATCAAAACTTGGTGAGTATAATTAGAGTAGAGGCGTGCTGAATCTCATAAATTTCTTTATGCACTAGCGGGCCGTAAAGTGCACTTTACCGCCCGCGGGCTCATTATGGCCCACGGGCCGTAAAGTACACTTTACCGCCCGCTGTTCTCAGTCACCTTATATCCACATATCAATTTATGAAAAACCTATGATCATATTCCTAGATTCTGATATATCCAGCGGTATATCATAAACTTCTTCTTCATCCGATTCCATAGTCTCGCTATTATTATTATCACTAATTTTACTTTTCAATAAAAGAATGACAATTGACTCGTTGATTGGATGCATTGCTATAGACAACAACCATCAGATTGATTGACAACGTCAAAACAAGTTAGGTTTATATACTGGGTATGCATATTGTAAAATTCTGAAGAATGAATCTCTTCTAGAGCTGAAAGAGTTTTCCTATTACGATCATTGCAATATTCGTACGGTAATTTTCATATGTAAATCATCCATGAACATTACGCTTCTCTTGATTACTGAATTTATACGTGACAAATTAAATTCTGGGGAATATTAGTTAATCGAAATCTATAGTCATCACTTATGAGTCAGAAAATAAACCACTAGTGCATAAAATTTTGTATGTATCTCGTTCGTGAAATGCGTTTATGGCCTTCAGCGTGTAATGGCCCTCGGCTAGCGCCATCGGGCCATTATTCACGCCACAGGCCATAAACGCCTACTTTACGCCCTTGATACATTAATAACTATTCATGTATGGGGATTTCCAATACATATATTCTGTGAGTGTGAATGGTCGTTAGGAACCTAAATTAATTATTTAGGGTTGATAGCAAATACATATTATTACCTACTAAAAAAACAAATTCAACAGTGGTGAACTATTGAGGTATAATTGATCATTAAGTGAAAAGTCAGAATTTTTGAGTTTCTAATGATTCTAAATGATTTAGTCTCATTCCTTTATTTTCTACGTGTAGAATTTCGCAATTATCATCAAAACTATTGTTTTCTTCTAATATGCCTATGGTTGGCGTATGTTGATTTGTTTCCTTTTTCAAAAAATGCATCAAATGTTCATGAAGGCGCTGATTATACGTACGACTTGTCTGACCGATATACCATAGGACAAGATCCACAGTTTGCCTTCATCATTTTTTATATGCCTTCGGATAGATACTTCCGTATTGATAGATCAACGATTGATCAATTATCAGTGATTGGGTCTTTTCATTCACGGAGCAATACAATTTTGCACAGATTCCCCCTTTTCATTTACACTCCTAATTCAATCAATTACTGAGAGTTTACCGACGGCTTCAAAGTCTATTAGATTCGTTATAGATTGAAATAGCAGCATTTGCCCCGAACTCTCCTTTTACAAGAAGGCCTATTGGCAGAAATTGAGAAGATTTATATCTCTTACATCAACTCCAGAAATTTTCTATCCATAAATAAATGGTGTGCAAAAGCTTGGAATTAGTTTTCGAGGTTCAAATCACCAAGAAATTCTTGCTGTAGATTTTGAAGCCTATACAGGGTTATAATATTTGTAACTACTTTAGTGATCTAGAAATCGATATCTTTCTATTAGCCTGATTCCAAGGGCGGATCCAGGGGGGGGGGTCATGGGGGTCATGACCCCCTCCCGCTGGGCCCAGATGAACCGGTGATTTTTCGGTGAAAAATTCCAGATGTATCCCACAAAAGGTCCCAAAAATGAAGATGCGAATCAATGAGTTAATCTAAAATTATTTTTAAGGAAAATAATAAAAGGCACAAAGTCAGTCGACACAAAAATTATGTAATAAGAAGTGTAACTAGTTTTGGCAACAGACCATCATCAGACACAAAATTGAAGTATTAAAGAAGTACCCATAAAAGAAATTATGGAAACTGTTGAGGAGTCAAAGAATTGATTATAATGATTACCAAAAGAACATGATTTGGAAATTCAATAATTTCAAACGGCCTACATCTCAATAATATACGATAGTATCTCAAAGAGTTCTGTTGACTAGTCATTACCCTGATAGCACACAACGTCCTAGGGACGTCCCTATTTGGTACAAATCAAGTCCGAATGTCCCGGACCAAAAATAAGTGTCTTTTTGGGACGTCTCATCCCGTACATCTCAGCTGGTACATCATTTCAAATATTCTAGAAATAGCATCCCTAAGACGTCCCACGTGGTACATATTGTAGAATGTCCATGCAAGGACGTCTTTAACATGTCCCTGATGGGATGTGATTTTGAACGTAAGTCCATTGGACATCCTTGGGCAACTTCTTCAGGGTCTATTGGGGACCTTCTACGAACCATCAACACAACTGGTTGTCCTCATCAGTTATGCAAGATCTGGTCCTAGAGGGACCCAGAAATATTTGAATTCAAGAATACTTCGTACGTCCCCGAGATATCGTATGGACATCCAATTCATATTTCTCAGCGTTGCTGATAGGTTGTCTCACGGATGTCCTAAGGATGTCCTCCGTAGTGCTTGATAAGGAATACTGTAGGATTCAGATATCCGATAGTTGTCCTAGGGACATCCCTCATGGACGTTCCTAGTTGGTCCTCAAGTGGGACATTTGTGCGTCCCACAGACGTCCAATGGACGTTCACGGTACCAATTTCGAACGTCCTATGGACTTCCTGAATGTTCCGACAGGACGTTCTAAGGATATCCATGGGACATAATTGTGTTATCAAGGTATAACTTGGTCGCGCTGTATAAAAATAATATTTCAAATAATCATTATACCGCATTATGAGATACTCACTATATAATCATACATCGAATGAACGAACGAATTTATAAACGAATATAGGTAAGTATCTAGGAAAAACAATACTCAGAAACCTGTGTGTTTCCATCAGAGTATTCAATTAATTGATGGCTGACCCTAAAACTCTGGAATACTATTGTTATGCAATCCTGAATAGAGGCTGAATTGAATGTAGGACGTTTGACCAAGCTGTAAATGTTGCGCATTTGTATTTTGTACATATATAGGTCGAAGGGAATGATTTTCGAATTATTTCTTTAGAATCCTCACCTTGCTTCACTACAGTTTTGATGTTTTTCAAAATATAGTTTTATAGTTTTCAAAGCCTTGAATCATCAGATATACTGTATAGGTTGCATAAGCATAAAACTAATCATTGTAAACTAATTTGATGAAAGTTCATCAGAAGGAACCATTTAACCTTTTAACAAGAAATATCGCTGAGAAATTGAGCGATTATCTGATTGGCTTTCGAAAACAAGAGTAGAAAAGTCACTATCATATATGTATACCAAATAGGACAAAAATTCACGTTCCAAAAACGTTCTCATAATATTTTTCCGAACATACTCAGGACATTCGATGAATATATACAATTAGAACATCCTCAGAATTATCTAGGAATATTCCCAGTATATACAGGGTATAGGTATCTCAAAAGCGCATGGAAAATATTTCAAGAAACGCTGTAGGAGGAAAATATGTTTTTCTGCAAAAGACACAAAAGTCGTCCATTCTGGAATTGAATTGACAATTCTGAAATACAATTGATGCTGTCTGAAATACAAGTGACTATTCTGAAATACAACTAGAAAAGTTGTAGAATATTCTCATAAAACATTCTATGAATATGCAGAACATCCTCATCATATTCTCTGAATATTCTTTGGAATATTCTGAAGGCGGTATGTTGTGAACGTTGTGGGAACATTCATATAATATTCTTTTTCTACAAACGCTTAACAAAGTAGCCTTTGACGCTTTCAAATTCCAGCACAAAGTTGACGTTTTCCCAGAAATGTCATTCTTTGACAGCATTTGCGCTCGTGAGCGGAAATATTGAATAAACGCTCGCTTATATCTCTGTAACCTATACTTATCTATTCTTGAAAACCCTCAATTTTTTCATGATGGAAAATAGTGACAGCGAATCATCAAACACACCTCCTTCCTGATGATAAAGCAGAAAGCGCAAGAGTTTGAATCTATTACCGGAGAAATCAAGGAAGAAATATGAATTACAATATGATACATTCATAAATTGGTGCCACTCCGAGATGGTGAATATGTATTCATAAAACGTTTTACTGGCTTATTTTGGTAAAAAATCAAAGACTTTGAAGTCATCAACTCATTGGTCTATATATTCGATGGTACGTATACATGCTCGAATGTTAAAGATAATATCGGAATCAATAAGTATCTGAAAGTTATCGCATTTCTCAAGAAACAATCTATTGGATATAAAGCGAGAAACATCCAAAACATTCACCGCTGAAGATATATACCAACAAATTTCTACCAGAAGCTCCCGATGAAGCATATCTGTTGAAAACGATGAATTATACTTTATATTTAAACTCTTTGTTGTCATCAGAAAGACAGTGTATCTTTATTTCATTGCATCAATGAGTAATGTTCAATTTGATTGCAGAGCTTATCGTACTATGGCTCAGAGGTCTGAAGCTCAGGTTGCCCCGCTGGTGGTCCAGTTTCAATTCTCGGTAGGCCCGACATTTTTTTTCTGGCTTGTCGGTTATTTCAATTTTTCTTTTTTTGTTTCCTTTGGACATATGGGATAATATGGATTAGAACTCTCTCAACTATTTCAATCGCTCATACTTTCAGGGTAGTTATTTCCAAAAGCTGCGTTAGTAGAAAAAATCTTGAGTGTATTTCGAGCACAAAGTGTTATTGCCGCTCTCTAAAGATTACCGCGCTCCGCTCCGCATCGCGCGGTAACTTTCTTTGTCGAGCGGCAATCTATCACTTTGCGCTCTAAATACACAAATAGCTAATGCTGTTTAAGTTACCATCGGTCGAAAATATCAGAATATCAGATTTTTTCATATGAAAGAAGAATCAAAACAATTGTTTTCGAATCAGGGGTACTGTGCTTCGTGAACTGCAAAAACTCTACCAACAGCACGCGTGCAAAGAGTACCTGGAGAATTGGCCTCAGCTAGTGAAGTACTGCGGCTACAGAGAGGACAACATCCCGCAGCTGCAAGACGTCAGCGTATTCCTCAAGAGGAAGACCGGCTTCCAATTGAGGCCTGTCGGAGGCTACTTGACCTCCAGGGATTTCCTCGCTGGGCTGGCCTTCAGGGTGTTCCATTGCACCCAGTACATCAGACATTCTATTGATCCTTTCTATACGCCAGAACCGTAAGTAAAAGAGGATTATGGTTCACAGACTCTTTGTTTGTTTTTTTTCAAAACTATTCATAATCCAGCGAATAGAGACACATAGAGCGGATTCACCTTATAAACGGTCCGGTAGTTCTGAATTTTTGCTATGTTATCTAGGATGGCTATTGAGTGTTCAAAATGCAAAATGCACAATTTTCCCCCCTTCGCGCCCTCCGTCATATTGAAAAAAAAACAAAAAAAACGCATGTTCCGGAATTTTCTCAAGTACGTTCAGCGACACTATGGCACCAATGTGATGGTGATTTTTGATGGCTACACTACAGATCCTTCTCAGCAAGGGACCAAGATTGCTGAACGAGCAAGAAGATACAAGGCAAACTCATCATCAAACGTGATGTTTGACAAAACCACTGTCAATACCGTACCTCAGGATAAATTCCTGGCCAATGAGCAGGGGAACAAGGACCGATTTGTGAAGCTGCTCTGCAATGAAATGCAAGCGTCAAATACAGTCACAGACCAAGCTTCCGAAGATACTGACAGGTTCATAGTTGCCATAGCTAAATGTCTGTCCCCCACGTACGACGCCGTCATCATTGTCGGAGAAGACATTGACCTACTCGTCCTACTGACTGGCACAACACCTGCGGTGAACAATGTCTACCTCGAAAAACAACAACTCCAAAGGCTGTATCTTGCTCCTGCACGCAATATCGGGCTGCGACACCACATCTAACATTTCTGGGTTGGGAAAGAATAAATTCTGCCAACTTTTTAGGAGAGACCCATTAAGCGGAAAGGTTCGAGGACCCTGCTGCCAGTCCCCAAGAAATTTCAGTAGCACAGGGGAGAGAATCTTGGTATCCCTGTATGGTGGCAGAACGCCATCCCTGAGTCGCTGAAAATGATGAATAAATGCAAATTCAGAACTACACAAAAAAAAATGTTGTTTGAGGGTAGGTTTGATATAGTATGATTTCCAATGTATATAGGTACCACATAGAGGTTTGAACATGTTATTCATAAAACTGATCGCCTCTAGTTCCCTACAATATCATCATCGATATGATCATATTATATGTTCTCCAATTGAACTCTTTGTTGCCACTTCTAATTCCATTTTATTTTCTTCTTCTTCTTCCTCTTTTTTTGTCTAGTTGAACCAAGTCAATATATTTGTTAAAAATATGTATCTTTATAGCCTATGTAGTCAATTCCACGAACTTAGAACTTCAGTATTCACTTGATAATTATGAATAAATAGCATTCAATTTCTGTATCTCAAATATAATTTTGTATATTCACTAGAACGAACTTATTATCAGTTTATTTTCAATAAATCAGGATTATATGTAGTACTTACGAACATACCATGATGTTATGGGTTGAATGGAAGAGCAGTCACTATTATCTTCGGATAGGAGTGACTGAATTCCGCCCTTACATATTGTCTGATAAATTTTGTGTACCATCGAGGTTTTGATTATTTTGTAATTCGGGCAATATGAATAAGGACATATTATTATTATTATTATTATTATTATTATTATTATAAAAAATGGATATACCGGGTGTTTCTCGAAACTGGCTCACCCCTATAACTTTTTTGTTTACACAGATAAACAAATATAATTCGGTGTGTAGGTATGGTACATGAATATGCATTATTTGACGTCTTCAATTCGTTTCTGTCACTTCCGGTTTGACTGGAAATGACTCATATTTTCTTATTTTGAATAGAACACCTGGTATATTTTTTACCTATTTCGATAGAGAATAACATTTTGGGTATAATGAAACCCCATTTGCCACTTTTTGACATTTATCATCCCTAAATTTTCATTTTTCAATTTTCAATCTATTAGAATTGATGAATGAATTGAAACATTTGATTCTGATTTTGTTTCACAGTAGATATCGTTCAAAATTTATCGTAATTATGATGTTAACTCAATTTTTTCAAATAGGAAAGGGTGTTTTGTTACGAACACGTTGATACCACATAACCGATATTCTCTATCGAAATAAGTAAAAATATACCAGGTGTCCCATTTAAAATAAGGAATTAAGCGTAATTTCAGGTCGAACCGGAAGTGATCAAGAACAGTTGAATACATCAAATAATGCACTTGCACACCAATTTCATGTTTATTTATAGAAACGAAAAATCTATAGGGGTGAGCCACCTTTGAGAAACACACGGTATAGATGAAGAAATACATTGAAACTTCGCATTATCTATATGTGATGAAAATATCAATTCTTTCTCGGTTTATTCAACAGAAAACAACTACTTTCCTGGCTATATGTCACGACGAACATTGAATTACATCTATTGAACATACACGATAAGAATTTGAAAACAAAATCTTCTGGAGTAGAGAATTTGCATTCTCCTTCATATAAAGATATGCACATAATATCATTTGAATAATCAACAGAAAACAACTTCTTTCCTGGCCATTTGCCACGTCGAACATTGAATTATATCTGTTGAACATCCAAAAATAGAGCATGAAATACGCAAATCCTCTGAAATTAAGAATTCACATCATCTCTCAAATCGGATTAAATAATATGATGTATTATTATCCGACCGAGTAGACCATTTTTCATCTCTTTTGAAGTAAAACTCAACGCCCAAGTCAAGTTCCAAAATAAATTATTATCACAAGTTTTTCCCATATGATGCCAACTTTATGGATGACACTGTACATGTATGCCCATGATGGCTCCTTTGCGGTTCAAATATAAAAACAGATTTACTTTTATCATTCAAAATTTTTATTATATGAAATACTCAACTTTGTTCTGTTGAACATACCAAGATTGCGAGTTCTCAATGTATTTCTTTACATATATCCATTTTTTTCATGTTCATAATATATCGGAGAATATTTCTTTTCCATAACAATAAAAATCATATTAAGTTGTAGCATCTTAAGCCTTACTATAGCACTATAGGTTATATAAATCACCCTGTTATGGTGTTTGTTGAATAGTTCCATTTCTGGAAGTTGAAACGAGTTTTTGTGTTTTGAGGGATTGCTGCCATGAACTTCTTGGACACATGCCACTGCTAGCCAATCCAAGTTTCGCACAGTTTTCGCAAGAGCTTGGTTTAGCATCCTTGGGAGCATGCCAAGAGGATGTTGATAAACTAGCAACAGTAAGTCAATATTAAATACTCCTTGGGGTCAGTTGATATTATATTACGGTCTATCAGGGGTTCATAGGAATTAAGGTTGAAATCCGTACCGAAAATGGTCAATAGAAGGCATATTTGAATAATATTGAAAGCAAAGAAAGAGAAAATAATATCCAAAAAAGAAAAATCTAAGAGAAGATGTTTGAGGCAACTCAATAAAGAACACATCCCTATGAAAATTTCTGTCACTATTTGAAGATATTTTCTCGATATTCCTCTATTTTAATTCTTTAAACATTTTTCGAAACGAGGTGTCACTTCCACCATCGAATGAAGTTCTCTTTTCGGTTTTCTAATAATAATATCATCAAGACTTTCGAATAAGCTGAAGTTCATGAGCAGTTGATTATGGCCCAGGTGATCAATCAAAGTTGTAAATTGCCAATAAACTAGAGATTATATTAACATTATGGCCGAATTAACTCTTTTCAAATTTTTGATATTTATTTGTTCCGCTCGATCTTTTTCAATCATTAGCACTGATGTCATGAGATATCATCTCATAATGTATTTCTGAGACTTCAGACATAGGCCTTCGTGCTTGAGAAATCGCGCTTGTTATACTTCAATACTATATGATACTATTTTAGCTACAAGGAAAGTTTCTCAAATTCAACAATATGGGGAATGCGCAAATGTATGAAGGAGTTTAGCGCATTCGCCATATATTCAATTTTGAACCACCTGAAAATGCGCGTTCACCAAAATTTCAAAGTCAACGAAAGTTCAACAACATACCGGGTGTCCCAAGTTATCATATACAGGCAATATCTCGCTTATTTGACGAGATAATTGAAAAATTCAACAACTGCATTGAATGACATTGAAGTATGTACCTTCTCAATGACATATAAAATAGTCTTTCACATTTGACAGTTCTCTGGTAGCTATCCCCCACTTTTTATTTTCAAATGGCACCCCTGTATATTGTCATTGTAAATTGCGTGTTGTCCTATAAGGAGTACAACGATAACATATACATAGTATTTTTTATCATTGAAAACAGCAAAATTCATTGCATGAATTTCAACTAAAATTTATGCGAATCGAAAAATGAACTAAAAATCACAGTAAGTGTTCAAAATTATTTTGACATGAGAAGGATCGGCTTTTTGTAACGAAAATCATGAGCGGAGGCAATTTCTCATTTTCATCAGGATAATTAAGTAACTTGAAGCATCAGAACCATCAAAACTTGAAGTCAGTTTCCACGCACCGTGCGACGAACAATTTACCTTAATACGTACATATGTATCGATACAAAATTACAAATATTTTAAATGCAAATACATATATTTAGGTATACCAGGAAATTTTTCGCTTTTCCAGCTTTATTTCTTCACTGTAGAATTCGGTCTTGCGAAAGAAAATGGCCACCTCAAAGTGTATGGGGCAGGATTACTGAGCTCAGTGGCTGAGCTGAAACACGCGATCACAGCGCCAGAGAAAGTGAAACGGTTCGATCCCGAACTGACCTGTCAACAAGAGTGTATAATAACGGATTATCAGCTGGGTTACTGGTACACAGACTCGTTTGAAGAGGCCAAAGAAAAAATGCGGTAAGTAGGTATACATGTCTAATCGCCTCATCTGGACATTGATGAATACGTTCTTGTTCAATGGGGTGGTACACCCTTGACGAATTTACGCCATATATCTATTGATCGTTTCATGTTTTAATAGCATTTGATACAGTCATTCATTATTTGAAATCATTACAATTGTACATTATACATCAAGGGGCAGAAATGCAAGATTTTTTGCAAGGTGCCATTTGAAGTTCGAGGGCGGAGCCCTAGAGATACAAAGCACCGAGGAAAAAATAGCATTCTGTTCTGAGGTGTCTATACTATTTTTCACGCTGGCGAAAATACAAAAATTAGGAAAGAATAAAAATTTGGTCAAAGTGTTTTGTCATAATTAGTATAGTAGTATAGTTTGTGGAATGGACAACCTATGGTGACAGCAAATATCAAACTGAAATTTATGAAAACAGCTTTAAACATTGTTAACGGTTATGGAACAAGAAATCGAGGGAAAACCCCAAGAAATTATTGATACTACTTCTGCAGTGATTCTCAACTTACTACCAGTGAGATCTAGAATTCTGTATGATGCAGGTTATACTCGCTTCAGAGAAGGGTGTTCCGAAAAGAAAGCGCAGAGCTATGCGGAAAATGTAAAGTTGGTATAAGTTCCCTAGTGAGACAATATGTAAAATTATCTCCTTAGTGAATAATACGAGACTTCTGCCCCTATTTTGTTACCAGAGAAACTAACTTCTACTCCAGCCGGCGTAAAAATAACTATCTTTCTATAATTTGAATCATATCATAGCTCCCAAAAACGTTCTCTATGACAAAATAGTTAAACCGATTAGCACCAGAAGTGTTATATCGCTTAAGAACCAATTAAGATGTGATTAAGATATATGCATCCCAAATATAAATGATAATTCACTTCCATAATAGGAGTGTATACTGTCGAGACACACACAATAAATAAGTCGTATCTTATAACGGTCTGGAGACTTAAACTGGAATAAATTCACTAGCAGACTGTGCTAGCAGGGAAATGATTTTTTTTTATATAAAAAATCACAATATACCTACGTCGACGTTTCAATATATATTACCACTTGTATTCTGCAAGCAATATGAAGAGCATAATTCATATGGGACCCCTCTTTCTTCAGCATACTGATCAAATTGCAGTTTGATTATTTTGAAATTTGATTTATTTTCAACTTAACAGTTGCTCAAAATGTGTGTGACCATAATTTTCACAATTCAAAGCAATTTGTTGCCGCAAATGATATCTTCAATTGGGTAGGTATATATACCAGTGTTTTTACGCAGCCGCAAAAATACATTTAATTTGTATGCCGAATTACATCTCAAAACGAAGAGTTGTTGCAGACTGGCGAAAATGCCTTATTAATTAACAAAATCGATAAAAATCGAAATTTTTGAAAGTTATAGTATATAACGTAATATGTATTGTAAGAAGCATATTACGCACGAATGGAAAAGTTACGCACGCAGCCGTGGAGCGGCGAGTGCATAATTCCATGAGTGCGTAATTGCTTAACAACACGCATTACGTACTATACTCTTTAATTCTTGACAGTTATGTCATCCGCTGTTGACGGCGATTACGCGATCAACTGGCGGAATAAACAGAGGTAACTCTGCCATTTGATAGATAGACCATTTTTTTTCTCTACTGTATTGTATTTTATTGTTCTTTCTGTCTATCAATAAAAGCGTTTATTATTATTATTATTATTAAAAACTGTGCGATGTGCATACTGTGCGGAAAGAGCTACTTACTGAGGCTGTATCTCGTGTGTTCTTGCCTACTTTCAATAGTGGCCGTAGGTAATAGTATATTGTTTAACGAGCACGGAATGATAGTGATTTCCTAGAAGAATGAACGTTGTATTGCAGTCAACAACGGATATAACGTTAATTTGATAGACAGTATTCTTTCAAAAAAAATTCATAATGAAGCTATTTAAGAAATTCATTCTACCATCAAGAATAATAATCAAAATTATAGAACTTAAACCTATTTCGGACCATCAACTGAAATATTAGCTTCATTTCTACATAAACAGGACTCGAAAGTAGCATATTGCACGAATAACACGTGAACATAAGATGAATTTTTTGAAAAAGAAAACAAATTCAACATACGCCAACCATATATTGAATCATTAGAAATTAACAAACTCAAAAATTCTGTCATTTTACTTAATGACCAATTAGACCTCAATAGTTCACCACTGTTGAATTAGTTTTCTCAGTAGGTAATAATTAATATGTATTTGCTATCAACCCTTTCAAGTTAATCCGGTACACCGTATTTTAATGTAGATATTGTGCCTAATTTCCGGAAATGAAGGTTTATCGCACCTGTCCATAGGATCCTTGAGGTTGGGAAAGTAGGAGAATTTTGTGGAAATCTTATCGTTTGTGAAATTTTTACATTTGCCATGGATTTTCATCAAGTAACGGCCGAGTCAATTAAAACAAAAATCTATTTGAAACTTTGTTTCAGATGAACTCCTAATTCGATACCTATGTGTTTTCAGGACCTTCGCTGAGAATATCAAACGACCATTTGGACTCCGGTACAACCCTTACACACAAAGCGTGGAGGTTTTGAGCAATGAGAAGAAAATTACTGATGTCGTATCCGAGTTGCGTGGAGATCTGTGTATAGTGAACAGCGCACTCAAAAAAATAAGCGCCAGGGATGCAAATTTGGACGTCAACCGCATAACGACCCTACTGCAAAAAGGCCTTTTATCAGACTGTGAGAGCCACCCTGAAGAAAGCAATAAAGGCCTCGATGATAACTAAGAAAACTAACTGATTCTTCCTAATGATATATTTGTATATACCTAATGATCTATAAAATACAATATACCGGATGGCAGCGTACACCTATTACTTTTTTCCTATTTCTTGATTTCCAGAGTTTCAATAAGAACCTTAATACTATATTGAACGGTACCTCATTGTACATAGGGTGTTGCATTATTAATACTGCACAAAACTTCGTGGTCGTATTTTTGGATCAAATTTAGAAGAAAATATCATATAAAAATAATATATAGGTATCCGACAGATAGGGGGTGCTCCAGTTTCTTGAGAAAATCAATTTTTTATCAATTTCTGAATTGACATTGGTAGGTATACGTTAGTTCTTGTTATGCCATGGTAACATGATTGATTTTGTAAACGGGAAACTAGATTTTGATTAATACAGTTTTATGCTCATCGGGTTCATTTATGGGCGCATATATAGATTTTGGATTCTGTTTGTTACTCCTAAAACGCAGCCATGTGTACGAAAGAAACTGAGGAGCCATAAAAAAGCTGTATTTTGAGTTGTTTTACTAAAAAAATGCAGAAATTAAACAAAAATCTACTGGGGTGTTATTTTTTTGTGCAAAAAACTATCGGACTTGTCCCGTGGGCACGCCCCTGATAATTCTTTATTTAGGTCCAAAAAATACATCATTATAATCATTATTGTGATTTCAATTTCATTGTAAATTTTATCACTATCGGTAGGCATATTTTAGAAATAAATAAAAAATCGATTTTCAAGGGCAGTTGAGCAACCTATCTCGGAAACTAATATTTTTATGTTCAAATAATGAACTTCTTTCCTATTTAGACACATAAAATATTTGTCATTGTCGCCTAAAGCCAAAAAGGCACGAACTCAATCTCTGACCTGATGAAATGAGGCATCGTGCAATCATACAACAAATCTTTCAACAATGATTTTAACAAATAATCCTTGTGTTGGTATAATCAGCGTACATACAGTCTAATGTATGTACGCTGGTATAATCCTTCCTCTTTTTGTTTTCGAAGTGATTAATCGAAAAAAATACTGTGAAGGCATTTACTGTTGAGGCTGATAGTGATTCGCTATTTCAATGATGTTTTTTTCAGGATCGGCCGTTAGCGAAGTTCTCGGCTCGGTCGGAAATTTTCTGTAAACTTGTTTCCGGACCAATTATTTGTCTCTTTGCGTCCTGTGTCTAGATTGAGATGTCTAGATGCCTCATTTCAGGTCAGATTGAATTCGTCCAAAGACGAAAAGATGAGACAATGACAATGATATTTAGCTGTCATTGGAAAAGAGAAGATGAGAAGAAGTAAAATCTAACCTAAAACAAGCCTAAAACTAAGACTAAACGAAAAACAAAAATCAGATATTCAAACCAGGATATTCAAACATTTGTGAGATAGATTTCTGGATTTATTATTGTCATATATTATTTTTACATGGATAAACCACGCCCTTGTGGATGCAAAGGCAGGCGAACATGTCTCATTTGTGAAAAGGACTTCAACATTCCAGTGGAAGGTAACTCACTATGTGAAGATTCTAGTGGTTCATCATTCATTTACTGCCCTATATGCAACAAAGCTTGGGAAGGGTGGAATTTTAAACAAACTGAACATCCCAATCATACAGGGAAATCTTTAGACTTTCCTGGTGTCTACATTGATCTAAATTTTCTTTCTGACATAGAAGAATTGAAGTTGATCAACAGTCTTGATGATATTCCATGGGATTTGTCACAGAGTGGTAGAAGGAAACAGAACTTTGGCCCAAAATGCAATTTCAAGAAGAAAAAACTGAGACTTGGTGAATTCAGTGGGTTTCCAGCTTCAACCAAATTTGTACAAGATAAGTTTTCAGGTTTACCCATCATGAAATGCTTCCAAACAATTGAGCAATGTTCCCTTGAATACACCCCTGAAAGAGGTGCTTCTATAGATCCCCATATTGATGATTGTTGGATCTGGGGTGAAAGAATTGTCACAGTGAATTTGTTATCAGATTCTGTGTTAACAATGACATATAACAACAAACCAGATAGGTATAATCTTGATTGCATTCAAACATACCCATCTGTGTTGAATGTGGATGGAAAAATTAATACTAGCAATGAAAGATATGTTGTGAAACCACTTGAAAAGAATGTGGAGTACCCTGTAGTTAGGATACCTATGCCTAGGAAATCCCTATTGATTTTGTATGGTGCTGCAAGGTATGATTGGGAACATCAAGTATTGAGGGAAGATATCCAAACTAGAAGAGTGTGTTTAGCTTACAGAGAATTTACTCCCCCTTATTTAGATCATGGGAATAAGTTTCATGAAGGAAAGAGTATATTAGAACAAGCTAGAATATTCTTTTGAAATATCATCATCAATTATGTGTAAATTTTTTTAATAAAGCATGAGTTATTACAATACATTTTTTAAATCAACTAGCTACAGTTGACATATTATCATGACTACTCATTTCCTGGGGTCATTTTGCACATTGAGCTGGTCAATGTATAAGGTGGCATGAGATAATAATGTTATTTTATCAATACACAATTGTTTTTAGTGGACCAAGGTTTTTTATTGTGTAAAATTACAATAAGTAAAGCTTAAACCATAAATATCACTGCATTGCCTCAATCTTCATACACCCAACCTTCAGAAGCAGGGGTCCATCCAACTACCTCTTTCTCAGTGAACCAAAGAGCAATCTCCTTCTTGGCAGACTCAACAGCATCAGAACCATGGCAGATGTTACGGCCGACTTGTATGCAGAGGTCACCACGAATGGTCCCAGGAGCACTGTCTGCAGGGTTGGTGGCACCAAGGAGTACTCTCCCAGTCTTGACAACTCCTTGCCCTTCCCATACCATGGGCACAACAGGGCCAGAGCTCATATACTTGACTAGACCATTGAAGAATGGTTTGCCTGCTAGGTCAGCATAGTGTTGTTTAAGGAGATCTTCAGAAGGCTGAAAAAAAAGTAGAAATCCCAGTATAATAATCCAAGTCCATTATTACCCACATAATCCTTGCAGACGGATAAAAAATAAGGAATTATAATGATTGGTGAGAGAGTTATCAATAAAGATATGTTAATTCTGAATTCTTCAAAAACCTGGAAGATTTAAAAACATCCTGATCTAGCCACGCCGGCGAAATTTCAATTCAATCTGTAAACGTTTTGTTATACCGTCCATGAGTCCACTTACCCACATAAATTTAAGAGCTACGAGTTTGAAACCTTTCTGTTCGAACCTTTTGATGATTTTTCCAACAAGACCCCTTTGTACACCGTCGGGCTTGATCATGATAAAAGTTCTTTCACGTGTGGCCGCCATTGCGCTGGAAAAGTAAGAGAAAATGGACAAGAGTGTCAAGATCATACAACAACTACCAAACGGCTGATTGTGACGAAATGGGAGAGAGGGAGAGGCGACTGAGGCGAGGCGGAGACTGCCGGAGACTCCGGATTTGCAAATTTAGACAGGCGGCTAGCGATACAGTTTCCTCATTTTGCTTTGAGACTTCCAAACAATCAAAATCTCCGGCCGAGCCTGAAAAAAAAACCTTATTGAAATAGCGAACCTACGAAAGCACCCTGGTGTCAAGGATTATAAACTACTCTCCTTGCCCTGGTGTCACGTTGGGTGTCACGCACTCTTATTTATAATCATGATAATGCCTTTTTTCTCATTATAATGCATGTTTTCCCATTATAATGACTTTTTTTTCATTATAATGATTTTTTTTCTCACTATATTGGATTTTTCTCCTCATAATGACTTTTCCATATAATGAAATAGTTATGCGCATGCGGAAGTCTCAGAGCAAACCAGAAACCGTATCGTTAGCCGCCTTACAAATTCAGATTTTTCGATTATGGAATGCTTTTTCTTTCTTTACAAATCGAAGGTGGAGGTGGGTAGGTTAGTCGATTGTTTTGTTCACGAGATTGTTCACGAATTCATGATTGCGATATCCAGTGGCGTAGCCACGAGAAGATCCTGGAAGGACACGCTCGGGGAAACCAACCGCCTGGCTATGAGTTCATAAGGTTTTAGAATCGGCGTTTTGCGATAGGAATGTAGAGGATTCTGACAGGTTATGAATTTACTCAGTAGTTTTGAACCGAAATATCATTGAATCAATTAACCAGGCAATAAGTAGTATCTATAGGCCTGTCCGTTTGTGTTTGCTCTACCTGCTGAACTTGCTTTTTTTCTATGACTCTCTGTTTACATCATGCCATGAACAGAGAGAATTATGGAAAAAAACAACTTTAGCAAGTTCAGCAATACAAACGAACAGTTTGGAATGTTTTCCCGTAGATTTCATGTCAACGCAACGTCAGATAAGGACTTTGGCTACCGCGACTCCTTCCACATTTTTACTGCCATAGGTCGCGGTCAGAACAAAATGAAGGCGACACCCATGACTCCCTCCTGGTCCGAGACAGTTGTATTTCAAAACCTAAAAATAATATGTACAGTTTTTTCCTACTAGCGTGTGGAAAAGGAACTCTACCGTACTAATGCTGAAAAGTTACTTCTTCGCATAATTTCTTTAATTTTGAAATTAATGATATTTGGGACTAACTAAATGATCTATTCAACTATCCTGTCTTATGTGTTATTTTGTAGCATTAATATAACATCTTGTTCATGAAAAACCTTTTTTTATAATTAACATGGACAAGAACACTCGTATGAAGAACATTGTATCTGACTCTTGCGGAAAAGTATTACTTTTCGATACGCTACTGTCACTGACAAGCTGTAACGTAACTGTATGATCTTGTAGTGTCATGGATTGGTAGTACTGCCACTTCTGTGGGTTCTGTGTTCTGTGGAGTGCACTGATATAATCTACTATCTAGACCGCTATTGCCATAAGAAATAGCTATGACACGAGAGCGAATTGGAGAACATATTTTACTGACTCTCATTCAATTTATGTTTTACATCACCAAAAGACATGACTATAAGCACAGATAGTAGTTGTTCAGTTTGAATTTTGGCGGGCAAAGGACGGGCAGTACTTGACAAAAATGACAAGCCATTCTTACGGTTTGTGCAATGACGGCTAAATATTTAGACTGTCTGACGGGTTATCCCGTTAGATAGTCTAGATATTTAGCCGCCATTGGTCTAGGCACAGAACGGATTTTGGCTTTGACATTGCTATGACCAATCAACACACCCTTATAGAACCGGAAGTGGCCGTTCCATCATATTCTCGCAATATTATTGGCCATTTATTGTCTATCCTTGTTAATTTGCCATGAGCATAAGCCATAAGAGGCATAAAATAAATAAAATTATGGCTAATGGATGGCCATTTGTCAATTTGTCTTGTCATGATGTCATGACCTGACCAATAAGTTGTTAAGTTGTGCTTGATCGATTTATCGCATAGGAAAAGTTGGAAGTTGTGTTCTTGATCGTTTCCTATTCCTAGCCTAGTCGGTTTCCCTTTCCGAGGCCGTGGTTTTGTTTGTGGTTTGTTCAGTGCATTTTTCAATTTCTTTTGTCACAAAAAATGTCGACATTATCATACATAAGAATGAACTTGATGTGATAACAATCGAATATTCATGAAATGCAGGTCACTGTCAAGGATCAAAACCAAATAAACTCATCAAACAACCCATTATCATCCTTTGGAAGCCAAGTTATTTTGAAGATGAACGATTCCATTGTCGGTAAGTCAATTGATATTCCTCATTCCTCCATCCATTTGAAAACCTAACTTTTCTTTAGGATTATTAGAACTTGCTCACCGCGAGTATCAAGCTGGTGATTATGAAAATGCCGAGAGGCACTGCATGCAACTGTGGAGACAGGATCAGACTAATACTGGAGTACTTCTCCTATTATCCAGCATACATTTTCAATGTCGTCGACTAGATAAATCAGCACAGTTCAGTACAATGGCTATCAAGCAAAACCCATTGTTAGCAGAAGCATATAGGTAGGACATTAAAGTTAAATAACATAGGTGTATTGGTCTTGCAGAAACCCCTAAAATTGTTGGAATGTACCTGTTTCCTTAATTGAGGTTTTTAATTTGTCATTAGGTATACTGGGTGACAAGTTCAATATTTTCAAATAAGTGTCCAGTCTTTGGAATTCTTTTTATCATTTCTTGTCTAGATTTAATAGGTACATTTGATTTCAGTAATCTTGGGAATGTATATAAAGAAAGGGGACAGCTCCAAGAAGCTTTGGAGAATTATAGACATGCTGTAAGGCTGAAACCAGATTTCATTGATGGATACATCAATTTAGCAGCTGCCTTGGTGGCTGCTGGTGATATGGAGCAAGCTGTTCAGGCTTATATCACTGCTTTACAATATAAACCAGTAAGTTATCAAATAAACCAACTATTGGACATTGATTGATATTTCCCATTTGTTGTTTTTAGGATCTCTACTGTGTTCGTAGTGATTTGGGTAATCTTCTTAAAGCTCTAGGTCGCTTAGATGAAGCCAAGGTAAGCTTTCAATTAGATATATTTCTAAGCCATTAATCCCCATCCCTACCATTTCAGAGTTGTTTTCAAAGTGTCACATTCTTCCTTTGAAAACCACTCTTTCTCATTTTATGTGCAAGATGTTTTTATTGGTTCATAAAGAATTATATCCAGGAAAGTAAAATATGTTTGGCAAACTTTTTCTGTGGTTTGGCGTAAAGTGGGTAGTGCGTAAATATTCAGATGCAGGTTTGCTTTCTAATGCGTAAATTTTTCTCTGTACTTTTATATTTCAATATCTGAATTGAGCAGCTCTTGGCGTTACCTTCTTCAGTCTCTTATCTATATCAGTTTCATATCAATTTGTAGCTATAGAATGGATACATTACAGGATATCCCTTTTCTTGGGAACCAGAATATAAAAAAAAGTGAATTCATGTTTTTGAATCATTCAAATTGCCATGCAACTGATGTAAATTTTTAGTGCATAGTAGCTACTAATCACCTGTTCTATTTTTTCATTTAATTTATTCATTTTTGCATCCAATCAAAATTGAAATGATGTGATTATTAGTTACACTTTTGAAGCACCATTGGCGTAGATTACTTAGTAGTTGAATATAGAATCAATCTGAAAATGTTTGCCAAATCAATCTTGTACATTCAGTCAAATCTTTTTGAAATATTTATATTATGAGTCCCAAATCATATCAGTCATAAGAACTAATTTTCATAATCAATAGTTGATTTTTAAAATGTCCAGCAATCAAATGGTGGAAGCAGAATGTGAAATTTATCACCTGTATCAAAATTTCCTTCATCAAAGAAAACAAATTCCTTCCATCATGTATAAAACATATGCACTGAAAAGCTGTTCACTTATGGAAAGGAGACTTAGTGTGAATTTATTTACCTGCTGGAATATCATTGATACCATAGCAACCATTTGAAAGTTATACATGAAATCATTGTGGATCTATAGTATGGTGTGCTATTATTTTTTTTATTCTAATTTTCAAGGTTAATAACTCAGTTATGAAGGCTCAGTCTATCATTTACAACATGACCATTCCTGGCACCCTGTATACAGAAAAGTTAACATTAGCATGCTTTCAGATAATGATGATTGCATTTTCTCTCATTTTGTATACTAGGATTCAAATAGTCATGGCACTAATTTTTTGGACAAAATGGTTTGGGTTCCTTTTATGAATAATTTTGAGAATTCTGTCTCATCTCTCATATCTATTTATCCCTACATAATATTTCCCAAAAAGGATTTCACCATGTTGCAATTGGAATGGAATCTAATATTTTGTACATGTAATATTTTATCAGTGTAATTGGATGGATTTTTAGAAGTGTCACATTTAAGAATGTGTTCATGGTGGAGATGCTAAATTTTGATTAAAAAAGTAGAGGTATATGGTTGAAAACATATTTTATCAACATTTCATAACCATTGAAATTATGATTTTGAAATAATATTCAGTGAAAGCTATTCTTTAAAAAATTCTTGAAGTAAAAACGGGCCATGATATTCATTGAAGAAATGCAAGGTTTATTCAGAGCTCATTGTGAATATAGAGGCTCTTATTGTTTTGTAGTAGGATTTCACCTGCTGCATTTCTGACTACCTGGAACAAACATAGATTTTGATCTAGCACCTAGCATGTAATAGTGGAATGGTTATTTGATTTCCCACTAAAAAATACTGAAATGAATATTGGTTTTAATATACACCTATATATATTGAACTAAAATTGAATTTTTCTATTATGTTCATATTTAAAATAATGAAAAGAAATACTAATATCAAGATTTACTATCATTGGTTATTCACTTGAATGTATGATTATATTTTTAAATTATTTTCTGTTAGAATTTCTCAATTGTTGAGTTTTTCATAGATGTTTCTAGGGATAAAGTAATTTGAAACATAGATGTACAGTTATGGTAATCAATTTATTAATATCCAAGCATTATCCTGTTCAAGGTTCACACTGTCAACTGTGCCGTGTCTCTAAATGTCTTCCTTTTTATTCCAAAATGCTGGTGACATCTGATTTTGTGGCCGATCAATGCAACTGAATATCTCACTCTCGATACATGAGGATTTCTAAAAGCATTCACTAATGGCATTACTGTGTTGGTGTACAATAATACAGGTATGTGGCAGTATTGGTATTGGTCCCATCGCAGTTCTTCCAGTATAATACAGTAATCCGTTGGCCCTAGTGTCAGGTAAAGTACACATCAAGCGAAGTGGATTAACGTGAGAGACGCTCTTTGTTTTTAGGTTATGTGCGGATCAACCGGGGGGCCTTTTTGCGTAATTTATGCGATGTGGCGTAGCACTTTTGCACATGTGTGTTTCTTTTTCTTTCAGGTTGGCGGACAATTT